ACCCCCCCCCCCCCCCCCCCCCCCCCCCCCCTCCCTCCCTCCCCTCCACCACTGTCTGTCTCATTGTCTCATTTAGCCGCATAACCAACTAGGAGATAGGATTTTGATTACTCCAAGTGGGCACCACTTTCTTTATCTTAGAAATCAAATCATATATGCAGAATCGACTGTCACTATTACACTGGTCACATATGGAATCTGCTGTAGCCCCAACAAAATCCTAACTACTAGTCGATCCCAGCAGGAGACATCGCCAAACAGAAACCTATTTAGGTGGCTGTTTTCATTTTCCTGTCAACAACTCATTTATTTTCCTCTTCGAGCAACGTGCTCCTAGCAGCCACGGAACATGGATAGGCTTGTCTTCGTAATGAGATAGTCTCGACATTCCCATTTAAATTTCAAATTGCTTGATATTTTACATATTATTTGAAGTAGTGCAGTGGCTAGGAGTCCTCTAAAGAGTTATTGCCAAAGTGATTCGGAAATGGATCATAAAAATGATCATTGGGTAGGCGATCGAGGTGAGCATTCATTCACCTCTACTATGGGATTCTGAACGGGATCGAATTCACTCCGTACACCCCCGGAACTGATGTCTTAGGAGAAACCTAGTTTTTTATCCTTGTACTGTTCGCCTTCCATTTAGGACCTCGATCGTATTCCTCATTCCAAACTTTGTTGTCTCGAATTAAATTGGTTTGAACTTACTTCAAAAATAGCCGTAAATATTAGACTTCCTTTGAAAGCAAACACAGTTTTAATCGTGATTGTATGACAAGCGCATGGCGCATCAAGAAAAGCTGTTTACGGTCAGACAGCGGTATAATGAGTGTCGTGTGTCATGAGCATAATTCAATTTCTTAGCCCCATACACCCATACCAGCCTCTGAAGCCGTCGTGTACGAGGTTCTGTGCATTGTTCTCCTCTGCTTGCAATCCATCCCAACAGATTAATCGCAATTCCCGATAGTCAACGATTTGGGGCGGAATCTGAGGTTCGGGTGTGTCCCTCACTGTGCCCGGCACAGTCCTATGCTCAGAGTGGCATGATCACGACTGATTTTCTTTTTTAAAGAGTATTTCGGTGACGTCTGACAGACAATTCATTGGCAGGTTGATAAATGACCAACTCGTTTCGAGCGCCGACCTCTGTTTTTCACTTCAACAATCGCAATCGCATGGACGATTAATCGCTGGTCTTTCGCATACAGCCTAGGACCACTATATGAATGCCTACCACAGCTTTGGGAAATTTTTTAGATTTTTTTTTCAATCTAGATAGTTTTAGCACCAGCCCTATTTCATCTCATTTTACTAGAAACGTTTTTCTTGTCGGACGGCCTGAAGCAATCGAATTGAAGGGGATTGTTTCCAATTTGGTGCTCACTATTGTTATGGTATGGAATGTGATGGTGTCATTGTCGGTGTTTCATTCTGATAATGTTCCTGAACTATGGTAGGAGCCAAAGCCCCATAGCAGCCCCAAACATTACTGATTTTCTAGTAGTCAGTGATGCTTCCTTTTTTGTCCTGTAACAGGCTGATTTGGTAGAATGAACAACTGAGGGGCAAAGAGTAGCCTGTACCGTCCGCATAAAGCTCTCGTAAGAAGTTTGGCTATTGGGCGACCTGTCACAGTTGCTGCTGTTTCAGTATGCTATAGGTCTCTGATAAATATTGTCGAGCGGTAGCTCTTACTGTGTCCAGTTCACAGTCACCCACTGCATCCAAGGGTCGCATGCTGTCGCTCACTACCGCCCATTGCCGCCCACCGTTCCATGATGTTGTTTAAAGTCTTACAGTGCTCCCGCTTCAAATGCTTGCTTCGCTTAACACATCCAGGACCATTTGCACAATCGGTTTCTGATGCAGCTCGCAATTTTTCTGGGTAATCCCTCCTACTAGCAGTAATACAGGCTTCCTATGGGCCTCTAGTTCTGCTTCGCAGGAACTAAATGTTGACGACATGGATGATGTTAAGGAAAGGGTAAGGAGCGCATGATTATACGTCCTTTCTGATGTTCAATGTTCGTTTTTCTTGATGTAGTATGCCTGAAAGAGCATAGAAGCCGTAAACAGACCCTATCATTCATTGATGCCTTTTCCTCTTCTGTAGTGAGAAATCTACCAATCCTTTCCATCTGGGATTTAACACACCTTATAAACAGAGTTCGCTCATCATCATGGAAGTTGACATAAGGCAAAAAAAAAACGGAATGGGGAGACCTATCTAGTCGCAGCTGTCATTCGAATTCAATATGGTTTGTTAGAGCTTTTTGAGCTGTTGTACTTTTGCACTTTTCTATTAGGTGTGCACCTCACGTTATACACTAACCATCAGGTGACGTATATGGTATGTTTACTTCCAATTTGCAACTCGATCTCTACAAAATCCTTTGCAATCCGTTCTCCCCACATCGGTATTTACTCAATGTTTCTACTTTTGGACTTTTACTCTTTCGTTTTGCCTAGGTTACCCAATTCGCTTATTCTCATATTATTGTATAGGCTACTGCAAATGTGAGAAGGTTTACTCACGTACTTTTGGCTGCATTAGCCTATCCGTTTGCTATTATGAAAACCTTCTCAATGGAGTTTTGTGTATTCTGTACATATATCATGAAGGTAGTAGGAACAGAAAATCACTTTACATTTTTATAAACAGCTAAACTGGTTCTTAGTAAAAAATTTCGTCGAAGAATCGAAAGAACACAAAAGTTGGATAGCAGTACGGAGAAAAAAAACAAACCTATTCGATTTTTTTAAGAGAGGTCATATAAGCTCACATAAACAAGATAGCTAGCCCTACCAGTACTTAGAAATACGGTAAAGCTACGGTATCTGCTTTCCATGACTTTCCTACGGATGCTGCTTCTTTTGTCCACACTTTTCTGATAGATTTTCAAGGAATTCCGTCTTGTGGACAAAGTTAGCAAGGGGCCCCGCTAGCACAAAAATGTCAGTGACAAAAAGTCTAGAATGCTAGTGCCATTAGGGTTTTTCTCTGAAAGCGCTTGCTGATGTCCCACATGGGATTTCGAACCCGTTCAAACTCCCAAGAAGTATTTTTTTCAGAAGTTTCATTCATTTAGCAGTCATTCATGTAATTTGTTAAGCTGCATCAAGAAGCCTTCGGCTTTTCGCATACTAATTTGATGGCTGACCAAAAAATGCAAACAAAAGTGCACGCTCCTATGTAGTATTCCCAGATAACTGGATCTTCTCTGTGGACTCCACTTACATTTATGCATTTTTTGAAAGTGCTTTCACTGTATTCGGGTATCCTGGTAATTATGTTTCCATGGCGTAATTGTTTGCCTTACTCACTCGATGTTGTTATTGTTGTGGTCTTGCATGGTACTTCAGGTCATGGAAAGAACTTCGACATCCAAGAAAACTTTTTTCAGCCCTCTTATTCCGAGTTGTACCAGCTCTTTCTCCACTGAAAAACATCCCTTACAGACGTTCGCGTTCAGTCACTGATACTGATTGCCGTTCCCATTGGTTCGCTCATCCGGTCATAAAGAATCCGATTTCTTCGCATAGACAGGAAAGGCTTGCCTTTGAAATAACTTGGGACACTGATGGGGGCCAGTTCTTTATCACAGCGATTTAACCATTCTTGCCAAGATTTAGGACCAGTACAGTTAGCCATGTAGTCGATACTCAATGATAGTTAGCGATAGTGAGCGGTACCGAACGATTATGAGCGCTTTTCAGTGGCAGCAACTGCTTTGTCGTTACTGTAGCCTCCTTACTTTCAAAACAGGTTCATGAAAGCCCTGGAATAATACCAGGAAGTGGACTGGAGTCTGGGAGTTGGAGGGCTAATGGTGGTGATGGGTTGGGTAGTTGATTAATGATTGCTGTTAATTCTTTAAATCGCTTACCGAATAAAGTCCTATCGCTTCAGTAATCACTAAGAGGTATGCAGCAATGGATCTCCTAATAGTAATGGTAAGAACCAGGAGCGCGTAATCAATAGCTATCTCTCATCATGCCTGTTACTGCTTGTTTTATAACTTCGTGAGCTAGAAATAGAAAGTTTTGAATTTCAATGGGAAAAAAGCGGTAGACAGTGGAGTTTGCTTGAACATCTGCTATGCACTTTACTACCTGTTTATTCAGATGTGTTTCGAAATTTCCCAGAAATCGCATCCACTGCTGAATTCAAAGGGACTCTCCTGAAAAGTCATCGCTCAATCCTCGTTATAGTATTTCCATTAATATGACTTTAATACCTCGGAAGTTACACCGATGTATGATAATGTTGCGAATGTCAGACCTTCTGATCCATCTTTGTTCGATATTCTCGCGGCTCGCCCATTCAATGAGCATAGGCTCTCCCGTTCGAGTATTTTGCCGTTCTAGATTCCACTTGGGATGCGCCCGGCATTCGTCTTCCATTCAAGGTTGTAGCTGGTTGAGTATTTGGCCTATACTATGGACTGCACTGGCTAGCCGATGTTTAAGTGTTTAATTGTTCGCATCCATCCGGACGAGTCTGGTACCAATTTAGGGATAGAAAGCTAGGAGGCTAGGAGTAGGAAAGGATAGAGGGCTTCATTGTCCTGAGTATCCCCTGATCTTGGCTGTGTGGTAGTGCCAAAAGAACTTGTGTCAAAAAAACCAGCAGGACCTGACATCGGAGGGATAGTGGCAGGTTCCGCCGCTACAGCACTCGTGGCCACGGGATCAGACTCCCATTGGACGTCACTGCATTAACGTCACTATGATTCCGAATGGATTCCTATCCGTCGGTCCATTCAAGAAAATGATTGATATTGTCAATTCCATCTCTGGTTTTTTCTCTCTGTAATCAAGCTGTAACCTACGACCTGAACCCTCTATGACTGATGCATGGTGGTGTTCACTGGCAGCTCGCCCGGCTGAAGGATTTTCAAGCTCGACATTTTCCCTATGCTTTCGTTCCAACTGAGCGGAGCGATTTTCAGCGAGGCGGAGTCTCTCAGGCGATGGAGAGTTATTCAATGGTTCTGCTCCTTGGATTGAAGGGTAAGCTTAGGGCCACAATCACCTGCCATTATTTGCCATGTTCGATGGCAGGGACACCTATCACTCCCTTCCCATCACTTATGATGACAAAGTGTATCGACGTGGGAGTTTCTGATCCTGAATTCCCACAATTTCGAAAATGTGACATGATGTTTGCCAATAGGGGATGAACGGCCGTATTTGGCACCCCTCTTCCCTTTCATATGTGATGTGTCCGGCTCGATTGTTCGGTTGTGTATCCAGCTCGAGCTTCGATTTCATTTCAATTGATCGAGACTTTTTTCTAATAGCCGATTCTCTTTGGTGCTGTTATGTGCATAAATATATGTTCGATCAATCTATTTTTCAGAAATTTTTATTCTGTTCTTCTAGGTTCTAGCGCTTTAGACCCCTACTTCTTGAACTCACGGGAATTTTTTACTTCTATAGAAGAAAGTACTCGTTATGACGTCCTTCAGCAATTTCGGTTGAGCATCCAGAAGTTCATTGTTTCCATTAAATTTCGACTAAAAGGCTCAGCGGGCTCTATGAAAACTCTGGTTGGTACCCCAAGTCATTCTCTTCGAAGGCGATATGCTAAAGGATCAAAGGGCTTTGAATAGATGAATCAAGGAAGCGACTTCATAAAGTTATTAGAATTTATGGAGAACAGCCTTGAAATTCTCCCTTCTCATCGCTCATATTTTTGAATTCATTTGAAGCCTCGATAAAGCTAATTGAAGGGGTTGGAGGGCAACAACAATGTGTTATTGTGAAAAAATATCGTTAAAAATTACGATGGAGAATTCCCTCGCTTTCACGACCCATTGTGATCGTGAGAAAGCAACGTTGTGGAATGAAAACGATGCATCAAATTGTCCAAATCAACCAAATTCCAATAGTTGTTGATTGTGGTGGCGGCAGATTCAAGGCTGACTTAATCAGCTGATTTTCCAGGACTTTCACCACCAGCTGTCCACATACCTGAGTTAAATGGTCTATCGCTTCCTCATTCTTGGAGCTGCACATTCCCACCCAAGAAGGCACCGTACCAAAATTCAAGTGTTCACTAAATCGAGTCATGTTCACTGCTTGCCATTTGTGACAAATTGGTAGACTTTCCCGGGGATTAGTCTGGGGAAACAGACTTTGAGGCCTGCCTTGTATGTACTTATTCACATATCATTAGACTTCAAGCAGACAGGAATGCGGGATTAAAAGCACAGCTCACGATAGTGAGCCGCCGAACGCCAAAACCGGCGTCCTTAAAGGAATATGAAAATCAAAAAAGTAGTAAGCTCAGGGGTTGGACGAGAATCGACGAGAAACGGTGCATAGAAAGGGTATTGTACGAGCTGTTCGAATTTGTGTGTGCCATTGCCCACAGCCGACTACAGTAAGTTGCCTGCGTGCAACATGTGCGTCCCGGTGTGAATGGTGCGACCTCTACAGCCTCTACAACGCCGTGAGAACTCGTCTAGCCGCCCTCACCACGCCCCATACAGACAGCATCTCCTGTGCTATCCTTGGGAGTCACAGGTTTATCCCAGAGAAACCTATAAAACCACCTCTATCGTGCCTTCAGGGCTACGTAGAAGAGTTGCTGTTCAAACTTACTATGCAGACCCGATCTCTTCCAACTAAGCCCCCGGCATTAAATGCCAGACATGTCCATGGTGCAAATCGGAATCTGGTCGATATTCAAGGCTGTATTGACATCGCGATAATCTGTACGGTCGTTGTTGATGGGTTTCCGCAAAATATCTCACATATGACGTGAAATTCAATATTTCCATTGAAGACCTCCATGAATAATTATTACGAATAACAGCAATAAATCAAGGTTTATTGATGATTTCGAAGGATGATGTGAAATAAGAATCCTAGAGAAATCGGTGGGGGAATGCTCATTTATGCCATGCTGTTCACATCAATTCAGCCCTTACGCATCTGGGCACAGCACCAAATTTGTATGATTCTGTTCAATGCTTGGAAACTGATCGATATGCATACTTTTCACTACTATTTGCTCATCCATATCGATTCATTCGCGATCAATTAAAGATCGATATGACCGATTGCATGATGACCATGACGTACCTTTTATGATCGACTTTCAGAGCAGTTGGAATGCAAGATCAGGAAATCATTCTCGACTCGTCATCAGAAGAATCGATTGTGGGAGAGCAGGTTGTTGTTTACCATGCATCGATTGGAACTGTCTAATTGCAATCAATTATTGATTTATTGATTTCTCGTTGGGCAGTTTTTGCAAAAATTGCTTTGTTTGCAGGCCAAAAAACTGTTCGAAATATGCGACAAGGATGATAAAGGCTATATAGACAAGGTGAACAAAGAGGCCCAATTTTTCTTTCAGCTTCATCCGACTCATTAAATTATAAATTAGTCTGGGATTGATTTCCGTTTTGGATCTAAGCGGGTTCCGGAAATGGGAACGGAAATCGAAAAACATATCAGTAAAAGGATAATATGAAGGGCATAATTTCAGAGTGATCTGAATGGTCTTAATGAGTTTGTCTCACTCTACGATATCCAAGAAATCCAAAAGAAAGTCGAAGAATCTAATGAGAAACAGATTACCAAAGAACAGTTCACACAAATCATTAGTGAGTATTTACTTGTTTGATTGTTTATTCGCCTACTCACTTGATTATTGATTTATTTATCTATTGATTAATTCATCAGTTTCCCAGTTGTCTTTGGGTTTACCATTTCTCCGTGTGGTTTTCACCAGTATTCACCCTAAGTGTTCCGTTAAGGCTTTTATCAAACCGATTGATTGGCTGATATTGATTGCTGCCGATTTTGCTTTTTGAGCTATTTTTACTGCCAATATCACGGGACATTAAGTTTATTTCCAGGAGAGCTTGTAAGCAATCAAAACAACAATTATGAGACG